GGCGCAATATTTCAGCAGAAAAGCGATCCTACGTGTCTGTCTCTTGGCTTCACTCTTCGACCCTGAGTATAAAGGCGATGTTCCTCCGAAACGTCGATCGAATTTCACCGGACTACACGGCGTTATATCCCAGGACTCTTCATATTCGCCGATGTGAGAACTTCACTTCCAAACGTTTCGGTAGCGTTCGTACGTTTCTCCTACAAGACGGCAAGAAAATATACTTCGAAACAGAAAACTACTGGAACAGTTCCCTTACCAACTTGAAGATTGCGGTTAAACTGATTGCCTCGGAACTGCGACTTCAGATGATTGTCGTTATACGCGCTTCAGTTACCCGCGTTTCTATTTTAGTTCTAGGAAAAACATCTAGCCTTACCCGTGGCTGCGGTAGAAGGTCCTGCGCATGCCCAGTGACTTGCGCGCGCAGTTTCCCGACATTCCCCACCATTTTGTCTCGACCATGCCGTTTCCTATATCTCCCAAAGTTAGTATTCGATCAGGGAGGTTCCTGTTTTACGCGCTTTTATATGCAACCCCCGCGTATAGCAAGCCTCCCACTATTACTTCTTACAGACACCATGTAAACGTCATTCAATAAATAAATACACGAACTGTTATGGTGAAGGAATGTACCAAGGATGTAAGGCGGATCCTTCTTACGTTCATGAGTGACAGCTCTTATTTAGGTCACATGAAGAGGGGGTCAAAGGAGTAATCCGAATTATTCATAAACTGCATGAACACCATCTCGCCAGGGTAACTTAATATGCAGTCAGTTCTCGCTCGCATGAATAGTTACGCTCTTGCAGGAAGCAAGAGAAGCGAGAAATTTTGTAATGAAGTTCGCTCAATCCCATAGGCACAATATTATAATTCGGGGCTATGATCCAGATTACCAAAAGAAACGGAGATAAGCCGCCCCATGGAAAAAATATACATAACCAATGCTACAGCCTGAAATGAAACATAAAAGAAGTTGTCCCTGTGCTTAACTAATTAAGCACTACGCCATAAAGGCGTGTAGGGGAGTGGATCTATAAATCCACATTTTCTTGACCTCGGCACTAGTTGGAGGAGAGTGGAAAGCTTAACGCTCCGGCCGCTTTACTCCCGGGGAAAGAGCCTCCGGTACCTATTGGACAGGAAGCTGGATGGGCCTCTGAAAAGTTCTGGACACGAAGAAAATTCTTGACCCTACATGGACTCGAACTCCGACCCCTCTCTATCTTCCAGCCCGTAACCACTCCCTATGAAGACTGCGATAGCCTGGCTCCGAAATGATATATATAAAACATATCACATTACGCTACAAGCTTCCTAGAAGGTTCTTTTGGTAGTCCTACCAGCCACGATCATCACGATATAGGCTACAAAAATTGTCAAAAAACATCAAAATCGTATTCAAGACGCTGAGCGTATGTAGAACTGACTGCGCAACGTTCCGTGGGTTTGTTTCCCGTTCGCACGTATTCGTTTTTGTTCGGAAGGGCTCACGGTTAAACGAGTTCGCATTCAGATAATAAGAAAAGCCGACAGTATTCATTATTTTAGGTCGTTAAGAACGAATTTTCGTAATGCGCATCGTCATAAAGCGATGTACTGGGACGAAAATGTATGACAACATGAAGAGTCTCACTGAAGCATCCTACATATGCAACAGGAACTGTATCTAGCTATATGAAGCATCAAATTAAATAACTGCAGAGAAAACTGTGTTAATGGACATGAGTAACCCCAACATGGCGATAAATCTGCTTGAACTCGGGGTAATGTGTAAACACTTATTTAAAGCTAAATGGACTTCATTACAATGCACACTAAAAAAATTAGAACGACTCGTTAATAAGCATATTACGGCCAAATTTAGACGAGCCAATCACAATTAAGAGTGACACATGCAAGCAGGAATACGAACCCAGGTTTTCATGGCCAGGATGATGCCTCATACACATTTTACAAGGCTTAGGAACTGGAATGTACCGCCGTGCAGTCCGGTACATACCATTTTTCGGAGGAAATGGATACCTCTGTTTTCTGCATACAATTTGTGAGAGGTGTCAAGAAGAAAATGAAACAGCCACACATATCCTGTGCGAATGTGAGGCCTTAGCTTATTTAAGATTGCGTCACTTGGGTCAATATTTTATGGAACCAAGTGACTATTTCGACGCCGCCACGTACAAAATCCTGCGCTTCATTCGAAGTGCAGGATTGTTGAGGGGATAATCACAAGCGGAGGCACAACAGATCACCGCAGGTCGCGGTGCAAGGGCCGAGAAGGCCCACCCCTTATACATTCATTCATTCTGCATACAATTCCGTATTCTACCGTGATGATGGAGGCAGCACATTTCTGAGAAAGGCTCATACATATCTAGCGCATTACAAAGCGCAATATCGGAGCAAACAGCAACTTACACTAACACAACGCGACTACCCAACCTGCCAATAAAGAAACCAACCGCTGTAACTGTACTGTTTTAACGAATATTAACATATATATTGGAAGGCACACGGTACTGTAGTTGGTTGAGGCACTATGCTACAATCCGGAAGGTTGCGGGTTCGATTCCTGATGAGGTAATTATATTTTTCACTTGACGTAATCCTTCCAGGCGCAGTATGGCCGTGGGGTCGACTCAGCCTCTAATATAAATGAGTACCACGAATCTTCGTGGGGGTAAAGGGCGGCCAGCGTGTAAGGCTCACAACCTTACCGCCATCTGTGAGCGGACTGTCTAGAGAAGATGTGGGAGCCTCGACGTCTCACAACCCTATGGGCCTCCACGGCCTGTTACAGCGATAGCTTTACCTTCTTTTACCTTAACTATTTCTACTGACGAACTAAAAGTTACCCGAAGAGTATTTATTACTTTCTTGACAGTGATGACTTGTCCGGCAAACAGTTCACCGACGTTTCAGAGTAATTATTTGACTCCATCTTCAGGGTCGTGAACTAGCTATGCAAGCAGCAAGCGAAGTGCGTCCGATATGAAAATCTTGGTTACACAGAGACCTAAGTAAAAAGCGCAATATTTGTCCGTTGCTTGTGTAGCACATGTCAGAGCCTGAAGATGGAGGCAGCACGTTCACCCGAAATGTCGGCTAACTTTCACCGCAATACATGGCGCCATATCCAAGAAGACAAGTAGAATGGTACTCTGATAGAGGTAAACTTGTCCGTTTGCTAATTAATTATGCATCAGGCCAGCTTCACGCTCCAGCCACTTTACTCAAGGGGATAGCGCTTCCGGTACCCACTTAATGGAAGTCTGGGTAAGCCCCAGAGCCGGTCGGGAGATTGTGTAGAAGAGGAAAATCCTTTTGACAGCCCTCTTCATCGTCACCGCTGTCTCAACTTCAACATAAAGTTCTTCCATCTACGAATCTACTCTTTCAGGCTAACGGGCGCTAATGAAAAGTGAATACTTACCGCCGCGAACTCCGCCTTAAGCAAGCATCGCTTCTTCAAGTCGTTTGCAACTGAAACATATGACAAAAGAAAAAGTTGTCATATTTCGTCTCATGAATCAATACACTTAAAGGATATTCTACGGTCATACAAACACACAATCTATCCTCCACCGTACTTGACACCCAGGCACAACACAACGGCGCACGGGTCTACGTACGAGTTATTTCTCTTTCGTGGTTCACTGTACGAAACTGTCAGGGCCTAAACTATAAGTAAGTGGTGAACAATGAATCAGAATGGATATAAAAGGAAGCGGTAGTCGTTTAATCATTTAGCTAGGCCAGCATTTAGGCCGCTCCATAGCTCAAGCGGTTAGTCGCTGGCTTCCAATTGCGGCGGCCCGGGTTCGATCCCGGGTCTGGTCAAGTGGGATTTGTGGAGGACAAATTGGCGCTGGGGTAGGTTTTCTCCGAGTACTTCGGTTTCCCCTGCCAATCTTCATTCCACCAATTGGCCCACAATCACCCTCACCTATCATCTGGGGCTGGTACAGTAGGCCAGAAGTGGCCGCAGTACAAGGGACTTAGTCCCGCCCCACTAGCAAAAAAATAATAGGCCAGCGTGTGCCCGAAGATACTGGGGAAAACTATGAAAAACCTGAGCCAGTACAGCCGCCGTCCTGGCAGCGATCCCAACGGAACATATCCCGAATACTAGGTCCAGAACTGTGCCACTTATTGCTAAGCCAACAGAAGAGGGCCAGTCGGTAAATAGTGTACGTCACAAATGGAAACAGAAGAGCTGTGTCATTACATAGCCGCTTAGTCCAGCTTGGTAACAGTCTGGGCAGCCAATGTTGGACATTTTGTCTGAGAACAGCAAAAAAGACTACCCACAGTCAGTTACAGTTAAACATTTGTGCAAGGAGTCTGTTGCTTCGTAAACAAATTTCATAAATTGTTTTTTTACAAAAGAAATATATGTACAAACAAATATACTCATAGAGTTAAGAGCTGTGTTTCAAAATCGCGAGGTGACAGAAAAGAATGTGCTACAGAGGGTCGTACGGGCATTGTCTAGGCCTTTTTTGTAGACATGATTTTAACTAAACAAAAAAGTAAAGGTAACAGACACGCATGCGCATCTTCAGAGTTTGCTTTCAGTAGTCAAAATGGCGACCGTGTTTGAAGATTGTACTACCGAAGAACAACGTTCTGTTTTCTGTGGGAAAAGGGACTCAATGCAAAGAATATTCGTAAAGAAATGTTTATATCCATTTGTGAGCCATCTATCTGCTTAAGTTGGCACTAACTTCGCTGACAAGCGGCAGTCGCTCGGTCGGTATAGTTCGCTTGCGGACTACAAGCCACGGAATTTNCTATGCTGCGGTTCTCAAGGCGCTGGCAAAGCGTTGGGACAATTGTATGGATGCTGGTGGAGGATATGTTGAGAAACAGGTTCGAATCATATGTTTTACATTTTATATCCATTTGTGAGCTATCTATCTGCTTAAGTTGGCACTAACTTCGCTGACAAGCGGCAGTCGCTCGGTCGGTATAGTTCGCTTGCGGACTACAAGCCACGGAATTTTTATAGTAGTAAAAGGCGAAAAAAAAATTCATTCGAACTTTTACGGTATAACTATAGTGTAATCATGAAATTCCTGGCAACGCTAGTTCAGACATCTGCCACGAATTGGGTTATCTACGGGACACTGTTAACACCAGTATGGGTTTGGGCCATGCCACGAACACATACACCATTCGTAACCTCGGCACTAGTTGATGGTGAGTCGTCAGCTTCACGTCCCCGCGATTTTACCCCTGGGGAAACCACCATCACCCATTCGACAGGAGGCTTGGGTGGGCCCCAAAGCAGGTCTGGACGCTGTAAGAAAAATTTCTTACCACTCCCGGGAATCGAACCTAGGCGCTCCAGCCCGGAGCCCGTTACTATACCGACTAAGTTATCCCGGTTCCTTGGCAGATATGTGCCCCGAAACAATTTTTCGGGATAACGAGACAAAGCACTCATGAGCGGGACAATTCCGAAAGGAAGTCGAGGGTTACTCCAGGGTACCAAAATTTCATTTTCTACAAACTTACATCGGGGGAAAAAAATACAGGAGGGATAGAATCAAGTGCTTTCGACTTTTGCTGTCAATCTTACTCTTCTGTCCCTCTCGGGCAAGAAACAAACTATGGCAGACTCCGAAAACAAAAAATTCTGCTCGTCGTTAGGAGAGAACTGTGGAAATATCTCCCATGTCGAGGGTCTTTTGCATGACCCTTGACTAAACAGTTACCAAGTTCATATGGTGCAAAAGCACCACTAGAGGTCGCTTCATAAGTGATT